GATGCATTTTAGTCAAAGTTTCAGCTAATATGTTTCGCTTGTATTGTTTTAATGAGTGCATAATCATATGCATACATGTTAGGGATGCAATGATATTACAATACAGATAAGCCAGAAATTATGTTTAAATTCTATACTATATTGTCTAAATAAATTAAATATAAAATACTCAATTTTAAACCAGTCAATCTAAGCATAACAACATTATAACGTACAGTATGAAAAATTGATATTCATTTTGAGATTTGATAAAGATCTTGACATTTAACAGTGTGTTATTATATTATTAATTTAAAAAAAATCATAAGTGTGTATTAGGTGCCAGCAAAGCTAATCTAAATGTAAAAATAAGGAAAATTGAGCATGCAATACAATTAAATATCCAATATTGGCTGATATATCAAAAATGGACTGATACTGATGAACTAATTCAGTAATATAACTAGTAACAAATGCTACCAATATATTGTGCATCCTGAATATGTATTGTGTATTCTGTTCATAATAGATAATGCGAATCACATTAATTTATAATGTATAAAGATTCTTAAAAACATACCTTGCAACCAACTGCAAGTAGGATGTGAAGAATCACGATGGTGGATATAATCGCAATGGAAATCCTTGGTTTATCGTCCCTGATGGCTGGCCAGAATGTCATTACCAGCACAGATCCTGAGAGACACAAAGCTACCACGATGGAGCACCACCTCAACCCTTCACTTGGTATTATCCACAATATCTGTTTTTCACACGAATGCACACAAACAGATAAATAAACTGTATCTTCAAAATAATAATAGAGAATGATTGAAAACAAACTATCAAATGTGTTTATCACACACAGATGTGGTAATTATGCTCAGATAAATGCACATTATATTAATGCATATATTATGACTGTATATGACTCACCACTGCAGGGATGTAGATGGAGAGAGAGTAACCATAGACACAGACTATCTGCATGAAGGAGTAGGACACCAGGCTTGTGATTTTCCTATTTCGCCAGGTGAGAAAACCCCATAGAGCTAAAGGCACTAACCATGCATAGCTGTATATTGCTGTGGCTGCCATAGTTACTGAAAAGCAATCAAGAGAACTAGTGTCATTTTTAGGGTGAGGCCAGAGGGTCTATTTTGTTTGGGTCATTTAGAGTTATTGTTTTTTTGTGGTATTCACAGCATTCTACTACTGTTCAAAAGTTTGGTGTTTTTTTTCCCCCTGAAAGAAATTAATGAATTAAAAGATGAATTAAATGTTATTAATTGTGACAATAAACACATGTATAAGTTCGTTACTTTTTTGTTACATTAAAAACTCAAGGTTATTTCAAACAACATATCTCTAACCTTTCCTGAAGTCTGGCACATATTTGTACTTTGGCTGACCGTAGTTCACAAGAAAACTGGAGATGTTTCCACTAATAGCGATGGCAAAAATAAGAGTGGCACAGATCCAGAAAGGTCCTACAAAAACAACATCGATTTCAGAATCGCGCAATAAAATAGTCTGCGATTTTTTTGCGTAACTTGTCAGTGAACTACGGCTGTGTGTAGTAAATTCTGCTCCATCTGAAAGCACGTGATGATGATTTCCTGCTGATTACAGAACCGGCATTACTATCAAAATGCGCATGACAATCGCATTCGATTAATCGTGCAGCCCTAACAACATATTCATATAAACCTTCTATAAACTTCTTGTTTTTTGCTCTAAGCAATTTTTGTTTAATTTAGCTTACCATACAGGTCAGGTTTACTCCGTGAATAGACCTCAGCAAAGTTTTTCCTAGGCCAAGGCAGAATAGAACCAACTATTCTGTTCTTTACCTATAAATGAACAAACAGAAGTTATTTCTTGTCTTGACAGCATATTGCTGCCGTCTTTTCAATCACTTCACAAAACAATCATTCATGTGCAGCACTATATTTAAACAACTAAAATGAGAAAACAGCAGCAATGCATCTCTTACTTATAAAAAAGGATTAGAAAACCCTTAAAAACACAATGAATGCTTTTTAACTCTTTGAAATGATAACAACCACTGTGGTGTGAGTGCTGAATCCTACAGTAAAGATGACTGACCTGATGACTGTCCACGTCAAATAATGTTTGGTAGTACTCAAACGTCCAGAAGGGCACACTCTTTTTTTGACCCGACAGAAGCTGCTTGGCAAAGGAACATGTATGTTGAATCAATGCTCCTTTTGAAGAAATGAAGATCTCAGATTATCGTGATCGTGTCCCACTGACCTCAGTTTTGTCATCACTGTCCTCTTCTTCAAAAGCAGTTCCAGTAGCTTTTCGTTGTTTTCGAGATTTGATGGGGTCATCGATGGTCACTGTTGTGGCACCTTGATTATTTTCTGTGAATCCTTGACCATCTTCAAATTCTACCACAACAGATTTTTTTTTTTTCAAAGAGCAAAAAGCAGATTCCACAATATTTTTTTTTATTATTGAAAGGAACAGTTGTTTAAAAATAGAAAGTAAAAAAAAAAATTACCAACATGTCATTCGAAACCACTATGACTTTTTTTATGACTAGTTGTTAAATTTGAGAGGACTCACCTTGAAACTGCAAATGAAAATCAGTATTGGCCATCACAGATCTATGTGTTCTGTGAATGAAGGCATCAACAGAAGACAGATAAGTAGACAAGCTACCTACAATAATGTACAGTATTTGAAAAATAATGTGTTTTTTGAACATTAAAGCATGTCAACATATTCTGTTACACCAAACACACAAAATAATGATCTTTAAAAAAGCATCATATGACCCGTTTAAAGCTATTGATATTGTAGGTTGTTAAAGGTATAGTTCACCCAAAAATTAAAATCACTAATCATGTTGTTCCAAATTTGTATGACTTGCATCTGAAAGCACGTGATGATGATTTCCTGCTGATTACAGAACCGGCATTACTATCAAAATGCGCATGACAATCGCATTCGATTAATCGTGCAGCCCTAACAACATATTCATATAAACCTTCTATAAACTTCTTGTTTTTTGCTCTAAGCAATTTTTGTTTAATTTAGCTTACCATACAGGTCAGGTTTACTCCGTGAATAGACCTCAGCAAAGTTTTTCCTAGGCCAAGGCAGAATAGAACCAACTATTCTGTTCTTTACCTATAAATGAACAAACAGAAGTTATTTCTTGTCTTGACAGCATATTGCTGCCGTCTTTTCAATCACTTCACAAAACAATCATTCATGTGCAGCACTATATTTAAACAACTAAAATGAGAAAACAGCAGCAATGCATCTCTTACTTATAAAAAAGGATTAGAAAACCCTTAAAAACACAATGAATGCTTTTTAACTCTTTGAAATGATAACAACCACTGTGGTGTGAGTGCTGAATCCTACAGTAAAGATGACTGACCTGATGACTGTCCACGTCAAATAATGTTTGGTAGTACTCAAACGTCCAGAAGGGCACACTCTTTTTTTGACCCGACAGAAGCTGCTTGGCAAAGGAACATGTATGTTGAATCAATGCTCCTTTTGAAGAAATGAAGATCTCAGATTATCGTGATCGTGTCCCACTGACCTCAGTTTTGTCATCACTGTCCTCTTCTTCAAAAGCAGTTCCAGTAGCTTTTCGTTGTTTTCGAGATTTGATGGGGTCATCGATGGTCACTGTTGTGGCACCTTGATTATTTTCTGTGAATCCTTGACCATCTTCAAATTCTACCACAACAGATTTTTTTTTTTTCAAAGAGCAAAAAGCAGATTCCACAATATTTTTTTTTATTATTGAAAGGAACAGTTGTTTAAAAATAGAAAGTAAAAAAAAAAATTACCAACATGTCATTCGAAACCACTATGACTTTTTTTATGACTAGTTGTTAAATTTGAGAGGACTCACCTTGAAACTGCAAATGAAAATCAGTATTGGCCATCACAGATCTATGTGTTCTGTGAATGAAGGCATCAACAGAAGACAGATAAGTAGACAAGCTTTAGTTAAAGCTATTGATATTGTAGGTTGTTAAAGGTATAGTTACCCAAAAATTTAAATCACTAATCATGTTGTTCCAAATTTGTATGACTTGCTTTCTTGTGTGAAACACAGAAAGATATATTAGGCAGAATGTGGGGGATTGATAGATTCAGTCACCATTCAGATTTACTGTATCTTCCTCCCATGCAATGAATGTGAAAAATGACTGAGGCTGTCAATCATCCTAACAGTTTCTTTTGAGTTCCACTGAAGAAAGTAATGGTTGAGTAAATGATGACAAAAGTTTAGTTATTGGGTGAACTATCCTTTTAAGCATTAGGTTTAACCAACCATGGCTGACCTACCACATCAACTGAAGTGTCTGATCCCATGTATAGCAGGAGTGACGCTGTACAACCTGTTGACATTCAGACGTCTGCGGATATCATACATCAAACAGAAAAATGCCGTTACAACGTAGCAAATTGTGTTGTTTTAAGAATATGCAGTCTCTCAGACGATTTTACATCAATTTTTATAGCAAAACATGACCTCTAATGTTTTCGTCGTGTTAATCAACTCGACAGTAAAAGCTTCTCGAATGTTTCGGGATCTTAAACGTTGTTTTGAAGGTGTGCAAATGGAAAACGCGGAAATAAGCACTGATAGTGATGGGTAGCAAAATAAAAGTCTTAACTTGTCAATAAATCAAGTCTCTTTTTTTAAACCTGGTGTTTTTCACCTTGTGGTTCAAATATGCAGTAAATAGTAGGTAGGTAGGTAGCTAAATAAATAAATACAATTATTAGAATGAAATAATAATAAAAGCACTGAGACCAATTTAAAAATGAAAAACAACAAAAATTAAAGTAACTAATATGGTGAAATAAAAATATGGGGGACAACGAGTAAAATACATAAGAGTTATTGCACAGGTAAAAGTTTTTTTTTTAAATACTACAGTTATCTGCAAAGTACGGGCATTTTAGTGTAAAGATTTCAGTGAAGACTTTTATTTTGGAATGTGCGTGAAACTCGACATTGTCCACGTCAAATAATGTTTGGTAGTACTCAAACGTCCAGAAGGGCACACTCTTTTTTTGACCCGACAGAAGCTGCTTGGCAAAGGAACATGTATGTTGAATCAATGCTCCTTTTGAAGAAATGAAGATCTCAGATTATCGTGATCGTGTCCCACTGACCTCAGTTTTGTCATCACTGTCCTCTTCTTCAAAAGCAGTTCCAGTAGCTTTTCGTTGTTTTCGAGATTTGATGGGGTCATCGATGGTCACTGTTGTGGCACCTTGATTATTTTCTGTGAATCCTTGACCATCTTCAAATTCTACCACAACAGATTTTTTTTTTTTCAAAGAGCAAAAAGCAGATTCCACAATATTTTTTTTTATTATTGAAAGGAACAGTTGTTTAAAAATAGAAAGTAAAAAAAAAAATTACCAACATGTCATTCGAAACCACTATGACTTTTTTTATGACTAGTTGTTAAATTTGAGAGGACTCACCTTGAAACTGCAAATGAAAATCAGTATTGGCCATCACAGATCTATGTGTTCTGTGAATGAAGGCATCAACAGAAGACAGATAAGTAGACAAGCTTTAGTTAAAGCTATTGATATTGTAGGTTGTTAAAGGTATAGTTCACCCAAAAATTAAAATCACTAATCATGTTGTTCCAAATTTGTATGACTTGCTTTCTTGTGTGAAACACAGAAAGATATATTAGGCAGAATGTGGGGGATTGATAGATTCAGTCACCATTCAGATTTACTGTATCTTCCTCCCATACAATGAATGTGAAAAATGACTGAGGCTGTCAATCATCCTAACAGTTTCTTTTGAGTTCCACTGAAGAAAGTAATGGTTGAGTAAATGATGACAAAAGTTTAGTTATTGGGTGAACTATCCTTTTAAGCATTAGGTTTAACCAACCATGGCTGACCTACCACATCAACTGAAGTGTCTGATCCCATGTATAGCAGGAGTGACGCTGTACAACCTGTTGACATTCAGACGTCTGCGGATATCATACATCAAACAGAAAAATGCCGTTACAACGTAGCAAATTGTGTTGTTTTAAGAATATGCAGTCTCTCAGACGATTTTACATCAATTTTTATAGCAAAACATGACCTCTAATGTTTTCGTCGTGTTAATCAACTCGACAGTAAAAGCTTCTCGAATGTTTCGGGATCTTAAACGTTGTTTTGAAGGTGTGCAAATGGAAAACGCGGAAATAAGCACTGATAGTGATGGGTAGCAAAATAAAAGTCTTAACTTGTCAATAAATCAAGTCTCTTTTTTTAAACCTGGTGTTTTTCACCTTGTGGTTCAAATATGCAGTAAATAGTAGGTAGGTAGGTAGCTAAATAAATAAATACAATTATTAGAATGAAATAATAATAAAAGCACTGAGACCAATTTAAAAATGAAAAACAACAAAAATTAAAGTAACTAATATGGTGAAATAAAAATATGGGGGACAACGAGTAAAATACATAAGAGTTATTGCACAGGTAAAAGTTTTTTTTTTTTAAATACTACAGTTATCTGCAAAGTACGGGCAAATGGCGGAGTTGCCTTTAGACCTCCGGAGACTTAAGCTAAAGATGGCATACTGGTGTTCTGTGAGGGGGCATGTAGAAACCCATCCAGTCAAAGATGTTTTACAAAAATGTTGGGAACATGAGGCTGTACAACCTGTTGACATTCAGACGTCTGCGGATATCATACATCAAACAGAAAAATGCCGTTACAACGTAGCAAATTGTGTTGTTTTAAGAATATGCAGTCTCTCAGACGATTTTACATCAATTTTTATAGCAAAACATGACCTCTAATGTTTTCGTCGTGTTAATCAACTCGACAGTAAAAGCTTCTCGAATGTTTCGGGATCTTAAACGTTGTTTTGAAGGTGTGCAAATGGAAAACGCGGAAATAAGCACTGATAGTGATGGGTAGCAAAATAAAAGTCTTAACTTGTCAATAAATCAAGTCTCTTTTTTTAAACCTGGTGTTTTTCACCTTGTGGTTCAAATATGCAGTAAATAGTAGGTAGGTAGGTAGCTAAATAAATAAATACAATTATTAGAATGAAATAATAATAAAAGCACTGAGACCAATTTAAAAATGAAAAACAACAAAAATTAAAGTAACTAATATGGTGAAATAAAAATATGGGGGACAACGAGTAAAATACATAAGAGTTATTGCACAGGTAAAAGTTTTTTTTTTAAATACTACAGTTATCTGCAAAGTACGGGCATTTTAGTGTAAAGATTTCAGTGAAGACTTTTATTTTGGAATGTGCGTGAAACTCGACATAGAAGAGGGATGTTACTCCAAGAGCCCGTCATTTTTAAATCTTTCTACATTTTACAAACTTCTCGATATTTCCGTCAGTATAACCTTGATTTTCAAACGACACCCGAATATTTCGGACACTAACCGCTTGGTTTGTGTAGAGAGCTGGTGAGGATGTATGTAAGTGAGGACTGTGGAGCTGTGTATGTCAGGGAGAAAGGAGAACTGCGGTATGTCAATGCAGACAAGAATGATGCTCCGCAGCACAGACTCTTCACCAGAGACTTCTCCTTTCAACTCTGCACCGACACTTTACCATCCGCGAGCCACACAAACAGAAGAGACCACTTCACATTTACCTACAACAAAGAGGGGAGTCTGCGGTACACGGTGAAGTCTTTATTTGACATATCTTTACAGTTCATCGCTGATCATATCGAGCATGTGGACTCACTGGTCGGTTTTCCTGAGCAAATGGCTGATAAGTTATTCTCGGCCGATGAAGAGAGACACAAATTCACTGAGCCTCAGACTGCACCCAGAGCACTGCAGCAGGTCTTCTGTGAGGTTTATGGAGAGCTAGTGCTGAGATCCCTGTGTTTGAGAAACAGGTGAGAAGTAAACACAACTTATGGCTGTCTCTCAAAACCTACTAGTGATCTGCCTAAGTAGACGTTTAAATGCTGCCTAGGTAGGCCATTTTACCCGGTATAATTGAGGAATGAGAGCATTTACATCAGTGTTATTGTCTTTGCAGGTATCTTTTGATATCCGAAAGGTTGGAAGAAATCAGACAGTTTCAGAGTCTGGAGTGCCTGGACCTCTATGGATGTAGATTAGGTGACAATCATGAGGTTTTTAAATACATAACCTCTGAAGCCCTGGCTAGGTATGGACACATCATTCTGTACATTGTATATTATTAACATAATGTTTAACAATTAACATTTCAGTTGCAACTTTACAGATCTTCTTTATGCACCAAGAGCTTGTAACACTCCAAAGAGAAAGGAAAAATTGAAATCGCATCATATGACCCCTTTAAAATAAATGCTGTTCCTTTGAAATTTCTATTTATCAAGGAATCCTGAAAAAAATAAAATCATGGTTTTCACAAAAATATTAAGCAGCACAACTGTTTTCAACATGGATAATAATGTTTCTTGAGCACCAAATTAGCATATTAGTTTGATTTTTGTTGGCTCAAGACTTGGAGTAATGATGCTGAAAATTCTGCTCTTCCAACACATGAATAAAATATATTCAAATAGAAAATGGTTATTGTAATTTATAAAAATATTTTACATATTACTATTTTACTGTGTTTTTTAATCAATTAAATGCAGCCTTGGTGAGCATAAGTGACTTCTTTCAAAAACAAAAAAAATGTACTGACCTCAAACTTTTGACCAGTAGTGTATCTCATTACATAAATACTTTCAGGTCAGGTGCTTTTTATCCATAACCATGTTGAATGTTTTGTTTATGCTAATTTACACCCTTGTACTTTGGTTTATTTTTTTAACCGAGAATCCCATCACTGAGAAAGGTCTTGGATATCTAACATGCTTTAAAACGCTACAGAAACTGGACATATCTGGGACAAATGTGACGGTAACACAATTAAAATGGTAACATCAATGGGTATCATTAACTTTGTATGGGCTGCTAAAGTTTTTATGGAGGTCTCGTATAATATTAAAAATCTCTTTTAGGTGAATGTGTCTTTGAAAGGATTCTTCAGAAAGATGAGAATGGTCTTATCAGAGACACCTTTGAAGGAGTTTGGACACTGATTGTAAAACAGAAGGCTGGGCTGAACAGGTAACATATAAGATTTTATGGTATCCATGATGGAGAGGTAATGTTGATGTTGTAAAGGTTTTATACTGTGGCCTCTCTGTATAAAATTCTCTCACTATTCAAATATTAATCAGGTAATAAACCAATGGGAAATTACAGCTTCAGACCAAAGAAAGACTACAAACCAAGAACAAATGCTCTCCGTTTCTGTGAGTTTATTCAATTTATCACAAAATATTATATTACTGCTATTTTTTATTGTTGTAATTTTGATTATTCCCGTTTTGTTTTTTAGATGGAAGAGAAAAGTTTGTCCGAGAGACATTAAACTCATGGTCTGGGACAAGTGACACCACAAAGAAAGACAAAGTTGTGGCGATTCACTTTCATAAGATTGATCTCTGTGGCACGAGTTCAACAGCAGAACACAACACACATTCATCAACAGTGGCAGCTGTTCAGAAGGGCAAGAAGAGGAGACTATCAACATAGGAAGAGCAAAGTTCAGCTCCTCTGTCTAAGCGTCAGTCTCTGTCTGCAGAGGACTTAGATCTGTTAAATAGTTATCGAGTCAACAAAGACAGGTGACATGTTTGCAGTGCATTCCTCTGTGAGGAGCGTGACACTGAAATACTTTTAGTTTGGATTCTTCACAATTAAAAACAAATACACTGGCTGGCAATCATGGACGTAATCATGGAGTAATTCACTTAAGGCTGGAACAGATTTTAAAACATCAAGCATCATACACCTACCAAATGGTTACAGAAATGACTCAAAATGACTGAGGATCAAACACTACCAGACTTTCAAGTCATCGTGGATGCAACAAAATGCAGAAACGTGTGCCTCAGGTAGACTTACCTTTTGTTTGGGTTCTCTCTAATGTTGGGATATCAGACTGTCTTAGTTTGAAAAGTAACAATCATTATCAAATTATTTCTATTGGTTTAAATATAAAATATGTATTCCTCTCAAACAATACAGAAGAATAACAATATTTCTAATTCAATGAACTGTCTTTAAAGACCTATGTAGCCTAATTTCCTTACCTGAGGTTGTGTCCTGTTGGGTTTCACATCTAAAGTATTTATATTAAAATATGACAATATGCAATTCTTACATCTGGTATTCATAAACATGGTCTTTAGAAGCCTATATAAATGGTCAGAAGATGGCAACTTGCGACCAACATCAGCACTTCTATCAGCACATTATATCTTTGTTGTCAGTGTTGACATGCCCACACAGACAAAGATCATGTCAGGTTGGACTAGTCCAAACAAATGACAAAATACACACTAAAACAGTGCACAACAACAGATCTGATTTTCATCTTTATCGATTTAAATATATAAAAAAACAACACATGAGGACAGAACACTTTTTAGTAGGTTTGTTTATTAACAATATGATGACAAATCTGAGAGATCGCAAAATATCTTCATTTACAATGCCTTTTACTGGCTTTACAACTGTCTCTAATATGGCAGTTTAAGAAATTTTCACCCACTGCAGCAGAGATATCTTGTACTAAAGTATAAATCAAAAAGTTAATGTTTCATTGTGCAACACACGTTGTACCTCAAATCACAAGCGGTTATGGATCACACCGAGAACACTCAAAAACAAATAAGAGAAACAAAAAGACTTCATCTCTACAAATGGGCAGTAAACAGAAAAACGGAGATCCTACAGAGCTTTCATTGTGATAGGTAATGCCTTTAAAGTGCCAAAACATCAACAGAATATATTCCCCACAGTCCACGCTTCTCAAATTTTAAAAAGGAGAAACAAGAAACCCATAGTCAAAGCAACAATCACAACTTTGAAAGAGAAAACCAAAATATCTATAAATTTCTCTGGATGTTAGACTGGTTAAATGTTAGACTGATCCAGATTGACCTTTGATGGAAGGGGTCCGGCTTCCTGCTCCTCCGCCCCTGGAGATCTGATGATGACCAGAGAGGACTGTAGATACGGGGTCAGTTTCTGTTCCTTCATGCACTCCATATCCCCGTATATGCTTAGCTTCTGTTGAAAGGAGGAGAACATGTGGACGAGCTAGTTAAACATAACCAACTAGCCAATAATTGGCTAAGAAACATGAAGTTGAGTGAATGTGAGGT